CACACACACACACACAGACACACGCTGCTGGTTGTTGAGTGGGAGCATCCAATGCTGCTTGAGTCTTGTTTCGTCAGTAGACAACATTGTGCCAACGACTTGCAGCAGCCAGCCCTGTTGCGACAATGAATGTTACCTCAGTTGAGCAAGGTTCGGGCGCGCCATAGGGAAACTTCGCCAGATCATAACCCAACCACTATGTTCATCCGATTCACTCCGGTTGCACCTACTCCCCGAGTTTTTGGAGCACGGCTAATGCATGCAGACTGAACATGCAATCGTTTGTGGCGCTGCTGGAGTTCAGTTTTAGTGAGAAGGTCGGTTGTCACAGATCTGGTTACATGATTGGTTACAGTTTCTGACCCAAAAGAGTTGCGCTGGGATGGTTCGCACGCACATACAATGTGTGAATCTCTGGTTTGGCACACTTGCCTGTGCATGCATTGTGCCGTCTTCCTACCGGACATTCAAGAATGTGTGCATACACAGGACCTTACAGAGTCAAGAAGTGCCCTATTACACGGAGTCGTACGCTTGCACGAATATTTTGCACCTTTGCAAAATCCTTCATCAACAATCCTGCACCACAAAGCTGTCAGGAAAGCTCCAGCTGATTGAAACGGCCCATGGCTCACTCTTGCGCCTTGCTTTGCATGCCCTTGCCAACATTCCTGGATCCCAGGTGAGGGCGGCGAGTTCCAAAATCGACTTCCGAAACCAGGTGCGCTCTGTTTTGGGGATATGGGGACTGGGCTTTCGAGTCCAGACTTGGCCGGGCAAGCACTGCTGTCGTTGTTGATCGCTGTTCTTGATGTATCTTCCCGCTGCTATCTACAGTTCTGAATTGGGACATGTTGCGGCAGGGATCACTGAGGCCTGAAAATACCCGACTTGGAAGCCGACTTGTGCTCCCGCTCGGGGCCTAGCTGTGGGACCGAAACTAAGTGAGGGTTTGGGGACTGGTGCGGGTATCGGGGATGCTGCATGATTCCATTTGCGTGCTTCGTCAGTTGGTTTCGTGTTTTAGTTGTGTACACATCACTGCTCATAACAGGGCAGCACCTTACATTTGCAAGATGGCCGTGATGTCAAAAAATGGCGGTGGCGACGCTGCTGAAGATGTTGTTGGCACTGTTGCCGATGACAAAGCCGATGAGAAAGGTTGTGATAATGCTTGCGACGATGATCATGCCGATGATGATGGTGACGATGATGATGATGATAATTTTGATGAAGATGGTGATGTTGGTGATGATGGTGATGGTGGTGGTGGTGGTGGTGGTGGCGGTGATGCTGTTGTTATTGGAAGCACACATGCTGATGACATCTCAACAGTCACCGTTGGAGGATGATGAGATTAAATATGCTTCCAAGCATGACACAACTAGGTGTCACAAGCAGTGCAGGGATATTGCATGCAAGAGCTAGTAGCATTGGTCTTGATGTCGAGATCAATGATAGAAACCTCGCCCTAGCCCGAAGCCTCTCGACTCGGGTTTGGGCCAAGCACCCCCAGACTGCGGGCCTCAACCAGAAGTCAAGAAATCCGAAACTTCAAGGCCCCGGTCGCTGCGTGAGATGCCTCTTCCGCGACCCACTTTTTTTTCTTTGTCCTTTCCAAACCGAAAGTTTGACTCCAGCCTGTAGCCGTCTCAAACCTGAAGGACCCGGCCCACAACACCTAAACCATGCATCTCGAAAGGGAACTCGAAGCAGGTTTTCTCTGAACATCAACCAGACACCTTCTAGGCCCATCTGACAAGGATCCCTGGAGCACCCCCTCTAGCCCGTGGGAAGCGTGCGAGGTCGGCTTCTGGTCATGGAGCGGGCACCTCAGTTCTGAGCCTTAGCCCGAGAACCGGGAAGAATCAAAGAACACCCTGAAAGCCTAAGCCGCTTGCGATTAGTGAGGAAAAGTTGGTGTTCAGTCTCAATCCCATGCCTCCAGCAGCAGTGGTCGAACAACTTGCAGACGAATCATTGCTTGTCAACATTTGTTGTCTTGCGCTTTCGTGGCTCGCAGGGTTTCCTTTCTGAGAGTCTCAGCTGTACTATGTGGATGGGTTTTCACCTGTAGAGTGAAGCTCCTCAAGTGACAGTTGCTCAGCGGGGCGAGGGCCAGGTTGGTTTGGGCCTAGACTCGAATGGGATAACTATTCTTGATATTCTGGAGGCGCCGTGCAGGCAGCAGAATGTAGCATCTGATGAGGGGGATTTGCAGGACAATCCGGACACTCTGTTAGAAATGGGACTGTCGACTTACATTCATCCCTGCTCCCACGAGCATGAACATGTAGAACCACGCTGAAGTTTCGCAGGTGGGTGGATGGGGAGCGCCTGGTCGCTGAAAGTGCATCTGGCGAGGCTCCTGGGTGTCTTCAGCATGTGTCTAGCACTGCTGGTTGGCTGAAACATAGCTGCGAATCATGCCCAGGCCCCTTTGATCGAAAGCCCAGAAGGACCTTGTCAGTGTTATTAAGTTTTTAGCCTTGGCATCCTCCCGCACCTCCGAAACTTAGGTGTCAAAAGATGGAAACAACATGGGTGTTTCGATTTCGATTGCTGCCTTCCCTGCACCTGGCAGCTTGAATCAGCTTAACCACAACATTAACATGTGTGCATTGAAGCAAACTCCGAAGCTTTGTGCCGACTCCAACACCAGTAGGCTTAATGATCAATAAGCAGCCCAAAGCCCACAGCCTTCATCCCAAAACCCTGAGGCTCCAGAAGCTTTAGCTCGAACACTGGACGATCTGATCTTCAGGATCTGCCTTTGGTAGAGCTCGGCATCACCGCTACCCTCCTGTCTTCACCTCAGTCTCCGAAGGGACAGGGCCCGAACCGCCGCGCTTCACAATGGCAAAGTCCACTGCGAGAATGAACATGGGCAGTCGCTGTGGACCTAGGTAAACACACACGCACACACACATATATATATATATATATAGTGTGTGTGTGTGTGTGTGTGCGTCTGTGTGTCTCGAATACATATGAGTACGCAAATTCTTCGGAGTACGACAGAAGGCAAGCTCCCCCAACGGATGCTCAGCTCTCTCAATCATTTTCCCTACTTGAAACGCCGTCCTTCGCTCTCTTGAAACCCAAATCCGAACCTTTTTCGTTGTCGTCTTCGTCGCTGAATCTGAAACTCGCGTACCCCAAAACCCCTGAAGGGTCGAAACCCCTCCCGGGGGGACACCCTTCGGGGGACGAATCCGCATCTCATTTGCTCAATGACATGTGCCTTGCAGTTGGCCAGGATAGTAACTGCACAGGATATCAAGTTTTGCTAGTTTGAACTCTGGCCCACATCTGTCTGGCTATCCTGGGCCTGAGGTGATCCCAGCCACTAAGTCACTAAATGCTGGTACTTCGTGCATTTTCTGGTGCTGGTTGGTTTCAGATGCCCAGGCCAAACGGAACCGCGTTGCCGAGCAACTAGTGAGCACCGCTCAGCTGTCCGTCCCTTCTGTCTAACCCCAAAATAATACATAGACTCAGCATCGCTGTCTGCTGGCTTCTCGCACGTACAGGTGTGTGTATACTCGGACCGTACTTGTGGATAATCTGAGAATCCTGAGAGTCGGAGAAAGCATTCAGTAATATCCTGGCCATGGGACTTGGACTCTTGGACTGGACCTTCGCTGCACTCCAAGGCAACTGCTGGGTACCGGCGTGATGCACACGGATCCGCATGGGGGTAACTTGTTGAAGGCATCACTTCACGGGGGCCCCATATGGAGCGGAGGGCATTGTTCCATAGGCGGGAGCTTCGAGTCCGCCCGGCTTTGTAACTGCAAGTTGCGGAGTTGATGTCAGGTGTCCAGCTGGATCATGCGAGGTGTAGGGTCACAGAGCTTCATTGGTTTGATGTGAATTTGGCTCCATCAGTGTTGGATCAGATGCTTGAGGCTGACTTGGCGGCAAGCGCTAAGATGTGTAGCTGTAAGTTGCTAAGGTTAGTGTACGCAGTCTCATTCTCATCTTTGTTCGACATCTCCATCAAGCTTGTTATGGCTCGTAGGTGCTAGATTCTCTCATATAGCTGCAGACACGGCTGGCTCGTCACAGCTGAGCTGCCATAGTACTCAAACCTTGAGTATGGTGTTCTATGTTGTTCTAGATCCATTGTACTAGATAACTCTTACGACCTGCATCATCTCTTTCAGACACTGCGAATTGTTTTTGGTGCATGCATAGCGAGTTGTGTATGTTCGCAGTATTCCGTATTGCCGAGCTTGATTTAAAAAGCCAGTGAGGATGCTATGCTAGTGTGTGGCTGTGCAGTAACTCGCCTTTTTGCGACGTTATACCATGGTGCTGCATTCTGCTTCTACACAAGTAAGTTGTTGGTGCAGAAGTTATGATTATGATTCATGACTTCAGGAACTGGAAAGAACCATATGCACACTGTGTCTTCGTCTCCGATGCTCTAGTTTTAGGATGTTTTCCTCGTCCTACTTGCTGCTTCGTACTGGCTCTCCTTTTCTGCTGTTGCTTCTGCTGCGGTCGGTTGTCGTTGCCGTGGCTTTTGTGGTTGCGATGCTGCAGTTGGTGTAACTGTGGCGGTTTTGGTTATGGTTATGGTTTGAGTCGTTGTCGTGGTCGTGGTTGTTGTTGTTGTTGTCGTCGTTGTTGTTGTTGTTGCCGGTGCTGCTTGTCCCGGCAGAGAAGAGGCCAAGGACACAGTTGCCACCTGGGCCACCACCCCGTGCTCTTAGGGCCTCCACAAGCCCAAGATTCAGATGGAAAGGCAACGAGGAACGAGAAAGGGAAGCAGTGGGAGGACAGGCAGACACGACCTCCGCAGAGATACGTTTGTTCTTCGCCGGCCTGAGCAGGGCGCGACCCAGCCCCACCGTGCATTTGCGCAGGCACTAGTCACTAGTGCCGTCCACCACCATGGAGGTCTTGGCGACGACGGCTGGGCACGCGGACGAGGACCCGCTGCTGCAGGCCAAGACAGCGAGTCTTCCTCGGATGTGAGCCGCTTGGGCCAATTGCGGCAGGGTTGGTTTTTTCGGTGCTGCCCTGGACTAGTGGTGAGGTGGGCAGGCCAACATCAACTCTGCCCGGAAAGATCCCGGATGAGGAGCGGCTGGAGAGCCACACAGACCCAGTCTCAGCCCTTACAGCCGCAGTGGCATTCGCTTTGTGCATTGCACTCTTTATTGCTGCAACAGCTACCGCAGGTGCAACAGACGAACACACGGGATTGGCGCCAGGGACAAACAACATCGCCGACGACCAGCGCTTGTGCCCCGCCGGAAATGACATGCAGTCAGTTGCAGCCACAGCGCATGACAGGTTATCTCTACCTCTAGGACCTCGCAACTCAAGTTCAGTGCGACGATTGGTTACACTGTCGTGCCTGCTTGTGCTGTGCATCATTTTGGCAATGGTTGATCATGTCGTCTTTGGGATTCACTGGAGTGCAGGACTGGTTTTGTTGTGCTCCGTCGGGGGACTTGCCCTGGATGGTGCGCTGGTGTTCAAACGTTTCTGGCCGGAGCGGCATGATGGGATGTTCGCGATGGCGGTGTGTGACGCCTCTTCTGTGCAACAGTTTGGCGTCACGGGCCAGGGGGGTGGCGGCTTGCTGCCTTCCCAATTTTGTTCCACCCGTTTGATTCGCAGGCGAGTGGTTCACATGGGAAGTTCGATGGGCAGGCAGCGGCAGGTTGCCGACATGCAGGCGCTGGCGGCACCGCCTGAAGTCTCGCAAGACGGACGCGCTGCTGCGCCTGGCAACAATGCAGCTCTGGGTTCTAGTTTCGCGGCATGAAGCCCCCGGCATTACAGTGGACAGTGCGGGATGCCCGTCTTTCAGAGGGGCCACCAAGTTGGATCGTCTTTTGCAGGGCTGGAACAACTGCTGGACTCGGTGAAAGATGATCAGGGCGAGGATGCGGACACAGAAGCTTTGTGCGAAGCACTCCGCGGCCTCTTGTCTCGCGAACCCGCCAACATGCTTCAAGAGCTCAAGTCGCTGGTGGGCAGCTTCTCCCGACAGGGCCGGTCTCATAAAGCCGACTGGGGCACAGCCCCAATGCCCGGATCACCGGGCCAGCCGCTGCAGGTATTTCTGGTGATGGCTATTGGGTCAAGCCCAAGCAGGACCACATTTTGCTGGGCAGCATCTCGTGCCTTTGCTAGGCAGGGATTCGCGGATGTTGCCAACGTGGAGTATATGGTTTTCTGCAAATTTCTGTGGACTACCCTGACCCATGACATGGGTGGTGCGACGCCCCAAGTCGGCTGGAATTTAACCTGGACATTCAGTCCAATCTATCTTTTCCAGGAACTCTGGAGCGAGCAGCAGCAAAAGTCCAAGATGCAGTAGAGTGATGACCGCTACTTCGTCACGCACAACCACAAACTATTGTGGCCCATACCAGTGCTGGACGTGGCGCAAAGGCTTCAGAGGGGACCCGTTCACGATGGAGCGCACAAAAAATCAGCTCCTTACACACCTCCCGGCTGCTGGTGCCGAAGTCTAGGAAGCTGCAAAATAGAGGAGGGAGCAGAGTCCCGTGCTATGCATGCACAGCCTGCCGGTCAGCCATCTGTGGGCACTCATGTGCCCACCAATGCAGATATCGCCCAGTTTGTGGAGGAGGGCATTCGTGACAACACTTCTGGCAGAATTATGGCAGTCGTGTCAAAATCCCACTACTACAGGGACGATCTGTGCTGTATCTAATCCCGAGAGGATTGGGGCACCCGAAGTGGATCCAGGGGTTGTGCGGTTGCTTGGGCGTAGGGGGGAGAAATGACCGTGTAGAAGAAGTGAAAACAAACGAACCATGAGTGCGTGTTTCGCTTCTTTAAACACGACATGAACGAAATGGGTTGTGTGATTTTAGGATAATGACCTGAACACGCTTTCGTTTCACCACTTGGTTTCATTCGTTTCATTTCATTGCTTTAGACACGAAGGGAGGAAGCCAACAGCCAATGCACTCCTGATCCCCAAGCAACTGTACGGTCTATCCCTCCATCATTCAGTTATCCTCACAGCGGCAAAAGACAAAGGGAAAAACAACGATGCTTTTCCTCTCCTGTCTTTTTCCCTTATCTTTTAAACGACAAATAAAACGTGCTTCCATTACTGTTGTTCATAATTAGCTTGACCCTTTGGAATCCTTTGGAAACACAAAAATTCCGGAAGCTTAGACAGGCAGTTGGCTCCCTAGTGTGTTGTGTCGTTCATTACGTTCATTTGGATTTTTGTTCTTTGCTTCTTTGCTTTAATTAAAAACAAAAGGGGTAAAGAATGCAAGCGCGTTTAAAGCAAATCAAAAGAAGAAAAGCGCTAAGGGGGAACGAAACAAAAAGAGCCGCATTCGCACATCCGATTCTCTTCTTTCTACTGCGTGTTGCCTTATCGTTTCGTCCGTTACATTTGTTGTTGTGGTTGTTGGTTGTTGGCCTGTTGGGGTTGTTGGTTGTTGGTTATTGGTTGTCGGTTGTTGTTGTTTGTTGTTGTTGTTGTTGCGGTGGTGGTGGTGGTGGTTGTTGTTGGTTGACCCGTACACTGCGTACCCATTCTTCTCATAGTGTTATGTTGCTTCGGACTGTGTGTTTTATGCCGTTTCTTATGCAATCGAAAACCATGGCCATAGCAGTCATCTTGTCATATCAAGATAGTGCTGGTGACCAAAAGGCCTTCTGCCGCCTTCAGACCGACTTTTCTGCTTCTTTGTCGTCCTACACGGTCGTCTGTGAATGGATTCGCCTAGTGCGCACACTTCCACCGACTTGGTTTTCAATCTGTGCAACTGTGCAACTTGCGCTGTGTGCCCTGCTAGGCTCCTTACTTGTTGTTCTGTCTGCTTGGTCTGTAGTTTTCCCTATAAACCACTTCATCGCCGATGCATGCCGACACGGGCGACGAACCCCTTAGAGAGGCACCGTGGGAGCATAAGCTCAAACTCCGCATTTGCCAGGGGCCCATTGTCGGGGATGCGCGCAGCTGTCCGCCAAGCAGGAGTGTGTCGGGCTTTTGTTCAACTGCCGGACACATTTACAGAGTTTGCGAACACGGCCAAAGTATAGAGGGCGATGGGCAGTTGCAGACCCCAACTTCTGAAGCACCTATGGGCCTCGAAACCAGCGAATCTGCGAAGAGCAGGCAAAGGGCTATTTGTGTTGTCCTTGGGGAAATGAGCATGGTCGCATGATTGCAAGCAGGGAATGGTAATGTGAATGACGCATGTAGTTCTTGTTTTCTTGGGTCACAACCCCACTCCCCTGTGACAAGATTGTTTGCCAATACCTTTGGGACAGAGTTTCACCCGGGGTGTGCGTCAAGGCCTTCACTGCCATCGCGTCAGCTAGCCGGGCACTCGTGTGACAAGCTCAGGGTACAGAGATCGCATGTACTGTGAGGCACCTAACGTCATGGTGCTGTCTCCTGTCGGGTAGAGGCAGGGACAAGGATCACATTGTGTGTGCGAGTGTGTGTATACATATATGTAAGCAAACAGACAATATACCGTACCAAGAGATGGTGCTAGTAGCCAGATTGAACAGGGGGCGCCGAGTTGTCACCTTTCCGAGTGAGAGGGTGCATAGATGAACGGTGGACATACAGCAAGAGGTGCTCTCTGGAGCCCGTCACGTGGCGTTTCTGTCCTAGGTCTATTTAGATTTCGGGCTCGTTGCCGACGTGCCCCTGCAGGCCAGATGTAGTGTCGCCGGATAAGTTTCGAGTACGTCTGACTTTCATGCTTCGACCCGTTTGGCCCATTAATTGGTCAATTGATTGGCTTGCGGCTATTTCCGTGCGCCTGCATTTGTGCCTGCATGCATGATGCGTCTGTGCCGCGAGGGCTTGATCAGATGGGAACAAGGAGCCGTCAAGCGACTGGTGTTAAAGGTCTCAAATTTCAGACTCCCCAAAACTATGCCAGGTGCGTGAAGGCTTGGTCTGTGCCGTCATGTATATGGTGGAGCCTGCAGCTTAGGCTCTGGAGACGTTGGGGGCACGACATGTTTCGGAGGTCCTTGAAATAGAGGCACCAGTTACGGAAGGATGATCTCTTTCTTGTAAGTAGGGACGAAAGTGTCAGCCTTCAAACAGGGCGTGGTGCTTATAATTAATTAACTAGCACCGAACGGTTAACGTCAACGTTCACAGACAATGGCTGGAACTGTAGGAACTTGCCACTAGTGTAACCATACATTCCGTCGGCCATCAGCCAATTACGACCCAGAGTAAGTAGTCTTAAGTTTTGAAAGAGCATCCGGATCGTGCAGATCAGCACCCAGGCGGCGTTGGGTGGATGTCGCCAGCCTCTTCCATGCACTCATGCTCCTGCCCGACTGGGTAATCGCAGATGTCTGAGGCCCAGTGGGTCGAGGTGAAAGGGTTTACGGGTTTGAGAGGGTACTTCAGCTCGAGCCTGCCGTGCACCAATGAATGTCAGAGTATTAGTACTTGTAGCTTTTAGGGCTCTAATTATTCTAATTATTCTTACTCGTATTTATGGCTGTGTTTATGTGTATATACTTGCTACTAGTACTTGTTTCTGTTATTGTCAATGCTATTGCCATTGTCATTGCCATTGGAGCTGCTGTTAATATTAATCTGAATGTTCTTCTTCTTGTTACTAGCATTCTTTCTACCACGCTTACTATCATTTTCGGTCTGTTTCTCTAGTTGCGAAGCGATTATGTACTTGCTATGCTGGTAGAGCACTGGATGCAGGGTGTGTTCGTCAGCGTTGCTAAAAGGCGCAGCCGGCGCTGTGGACATGGGGGATATCATACGGAGGGCAATCGTCGTTTTGTGATTATTGAAGCCCAGTTATTTCGATCGACGGCACCAAGGCCGCGACACTGGCGAGCTTCACGAGGGATATCGAGCTAGCTGCGAAGGCCATTCTCCAAGTCTTTCTTCTTCTGCTTCTTCTTCATCATCCTCATCCTCATCATCCTCATCCTTCTCAGCACCATCCTCATCCTCATCCTCCTCATCATCATCACCGTCATCATCATCCTCATCGTCGTCCTCCTCATCATCACCATCCTCATCCTCATCCTCATCCTCATCCTCATCCTCATCCTCATCCTCATCATCCTCACCATCATCATCTTCTTCTTCGTCATCATCATCTTCTTCTTCGTCATCATCATCAGCATCATCACCACGACGGATACCGGGTGTCATGGAAACTCCTCGCTTACGCCCAATGAGCCCAAGCTTGAAGAGCAGGAGGCATTGGTTTTCCCGTCGGAGACAAAGAGCTCTCGAGCAGAGGCAGGACGACTCAGTGCATGGCCACTGTAAGGCCTTGAATCATGGAAGCCGTGACTTACGGCTCTCTGGAGCATGCGTCTTCGAGCAGGGCAGACGTCGACTTGGATTATCGTCGTCAGTTGTGCCAGTTACACGTACACGTCGTTTCAGTGCACCAGAATCCTCGGTGTTGCGTTCGGGATCAAATACTTTTTCACCAACAGACCGGACGTTTCAGAAGCAGACGCACCCTCGTCCGTGCCGTTTGTGAGGACTTCGTGCTGCCTGCTAGCCTCAGCTAATCATTGCTTTGAGCCAGGTCCATGTTGCCGCGCGCAGCAGAGACCACCTTGGTTCAAGATAACTAATGTCTGGTAGAAATCATGTGCGCAATCCACAGTCGCCGTCAGGTGCCTTCACTTCGCTTTGCAGCTTTGTTGGAGCAGCCGCGGCCCTGGTCTGTCCTGCAGAGTTCATGCCCCGCTGGAGATGCCCGGGAAACCGTCCTTCTGCCGAACAGCCGGAAAGCAAACCATATACATGTAATCGTGAGACGGAGCGCGGGGAAAAGACGCCCCAAACCCCAAAACTAATACTCAAAAGCTCTCCCAAAACACCCCAAGCGTCGTGCTGGCTGAGGCTGGTCCTGCTTGCCCCGAGGTGCGTTGCGTCTCTGTCGCTGGTAGCTTTTCGTTCTTCGGTTCTCGCTTTGTGCACAATTGGGACAGGCCTGCTGCGAAGAATTTGGGATTTCAGGTTTGGGAACCGCTTCGTATCGTTTTGGCGGCTCCTGTGCCGGATTCGAAACTCTTCATGGGGCCTTGGTGTCTCGAGGAGCCCAAAGGCGCCTACCCGGCTATCAGTTAGCATCAGTTATCAGGGTTCGCGGATACTGGGCAGGTACGAGTTCCAACTGCCGCCCTACTTCTTGAACAATGCAAGGGCGCTCGGCTGTTTGGAAGGCTGCCCGGGGAGAGAGATTAGGTAGGCAGATTATCGTTGGTGTCCAAGCATTAGTCACAAACGAGACAAGTGCCCCTGTGCATTGCCAAGCCTGGAGATGTGTAGGCGCCTGTTGCGGAATGCTGGCGAACTTTTGCAGCGGGGGCGTCTGACCAGGAATGGCACGAACCGTCGACCCGGAATTCAACATCCTGCAGAAGGCATACCTCCAGAGATTGGTTGTGCTGTAGAAACGGCAGTATCTCTGTTCTTATGCCCAAGATGCTCAGAAATACTGATGCAACATCCTGTACATGCCACAGTCTTGGCACACTGCCGAGACACGTTTGTGTTTCCCTTCACTGCTAAACATAGCCATCTCCGTGGTTCAGATGATCGCAAAATGTGATGTGCTATGAGAGGTGTACCCCTTTGCGCTGAACACGCTCTTGTCACCTGGCTGATGTGCCATCATGGTCGCGCGAGCAGTCAGGTAGTCGGAGCATACCGTTGTTGGCGGGTACGACGATTCTATCCAAGGGCGGACAGGTGTGCGTTTGGCGGCATTGCGTGAGCGCCAGGAACAGGAAGTAGGCCCTTTTTGTCATGTGAGACGATTTACAAATGAGATTCCGCCTTGCCTGCATCTGGAAGAGCATCCTGAGGTCGAACCCATCTGACTCGCCAGTCCTCCGCGAGACGCTGCCGCGGCCCCATCTGTCGACGGCCGTGGCAGTGATTAGTAAAAAGGATAGGCGTGGAATGACCAACAATAAGATTTGCTTAGGCGCAAGCTCTGCAGCGACAGCAGCGGACGGCTTTCGCTCAGCCGCGCGAGCTCGCATCTCGACTTCAGCTTGGGGACGGGGGGGTGCGGGCCATGAGGGTGCGGGGTCCGTTTGACTGATCCGGGTGTCGATTTGCCAGATCTTTGCTGCATCATTGGTCTGTCGGAGTTGTATTTGGAGTTTGCATGTCGTTGCGGGTCCGTTGTGTGGGATCTCGGGTTGCTGCTTGAAGGGAAGAGGAGCCGTAAGGCGGCTCCTCCACCCGAGTACCCATCCTAAGACCCTGCCTAGAGCTCTGCAGTCCAAAAGTCCGGAGGTCAGAAGCGTAATAGAAGCCGACAGAACTCGCAGGATTATTCCTTAGGGAGCTCTTACTACAACTACATACCCACACCCCAAAACCGCCCTCTTCGAAGTATCTTCGAAGAGGATCCCTAAAGCAAAGGAGGCTCCCGGGGCTTTGGATCCAAGGCCCCGAGGCCAGGTCCCCATCTCCTAAAAAAGAGACACTAAAAAGGGGGTTACTATAAGACTAAAAAGGGGCTACCATAAAAAAAAAACAACATGGGCCCACTATGTACAGGTTCTATAGTTCTATGAGGTGCTACCGGTGTTCCTGTGAATATCTTTTCAGAGAGTCTCGTGGCGATTACAACCGTTGTAGGCGAGCTAGCGTGTAAACCAAGGAGCTGCACCCATTCCTCTTATCGTCAGTGTTAAATTATCGGACAAAAGCTTGTCCTCAGGGTCGTCCGATGGTCCAACCTCAGGGATCTGCACCCTGTTTCAGTATTCAGGGTTTCGGGTCCCGCTCGAAGCTGCCAGCTCTATGAATCCAAGGTTGGTAGACTCTGCGGCCGCGCAGCTGCACGGGAGGATTCAGTCAGGTCGTGTGCTGGTCTTGGTTTTGCTGGCCCTGGGCAGCTAGGTGGCTTTTCACGGCCTAGCGGCCTGGATTGACATGTTTCACTGGCTTCGGTCGTTCGACCTTCATCTGCCTTGCGACCTTGGACCCTGGTCCTAGTCTTTTTCTGCCTTGCTGTTGTGGATCGTGGTGAATGAACTTGCAGGTGACCGCACGAAGTGCCTTGACTGTAGGATCTTGGGATGGCGGAAGCATCCCAAGCATCACGGCAACCGGTAAGGGAAAGTTGCAGCTCCAAGTATACAATTGCCTGGCCAGATTTCTACTAAAAGGACCCTGTCTCGTGTGTAAACCCCCTGTACCTGTCCGTGTCCTTTGTGGGCCCCCTCGCTTGACTCGTTTGGCACATGTCCTTGTTGCCTCTGCCAACATGTGCTTGTTTGTGTGTGTGTGTGTGGAGTGGGTGGATTTGAAGCAGGACTTGTTCTGCAGTTCTGCGCGGTAAACGAAACTGCGATGCTGCAGAGATGGAGCATGTGAAGCGTGGCTGGAGGGGAGAGGGAGAGAGAAGGAGAAAACCCCTTGCCCCAAACGCCGAGCAAGCAAGCAAGAGAGACAGTGTGAGTGAGAGATGCTGCAGGCGAGGTTGACTGGAACTCGCTGGCGAAAAGTGGCAGGAAGCTTAGTGGTCCACTCCAACCCGCCTTGCTGCACTGCCGGTCCGGGAAGGACCATGGCCTTTACCGAGACCCAGCAGACCCGGCCCCAAACGTCTCTGGAACCGAAGCCGTTGAGAATCACTAGACAAGATGATTGATTAAACGCCCGTAAACCGGAGACCCTGAATTTTGCGCTCAGGTTGCAGACAGCTTGCGCAGCCGCGGCGGCCGACGATTCTTCAGGGCGCTGCTGCGAAGCGAAGCCGACATTGGGCCGCAAAAGGTCCTTATTGTCGATTGTCAGGGTTTAGGCTTAATGATCGTGTTTTATGGCAACTAGTTGGAGAAGTACTGGTGCGAGGCCCTGTGGTCGTGCTTTTAGCAAGTTGAAATCAACCTTGTCACATCTATGGTACCTGACCGGGTGCTTGTACCGACACAGATACCCATGACTCCAACAGCTCCAACTGTCTCGGACATCTTGCGCTTCATTCTTGCGAATTTTAGTGTAGTTGCAGCAGGTTGAATTAATCATTTGGACACGTGGAGTCGGATCGGTAGAGATTTCCATCCTATTTTGCATGAGTGCTGGCTTCTCTGCTGGATATTGACTGTGTTGGGAATCCTTGTCGCATGTTGCAGCTGCCTTTGTTAATATGGTGTGCATCAGCCTGAGGGTGTTTTTTTGAGCTCGGCTTGGTAACTTGGTAGTTCTGGTCGGATGTCCACTACTTCTGGTTGGCTGTGTCCATCTGCTTTGGTAGTCATCATCGCCCGAAGTTTCTTGTTCTTGTCACGCAGTTTGCATGAATCTGGCTGAGCTCAGCGAGCCTGTCCGGATCTATGTTCGGTGTACGACGACCATGATCATGACGACGACGACGACGACGGCTTACGTTAGGGGATGCGACAGCTCAGTAGCTTCCGTAGGAGGGCTGCAGCAGGGAGTCCATGGCCTCTGCGTTCTCGCGAGGTCCCTCTACCGTTCCGGGCTGCGGGCTTCACTCAAGATGAGACCTAAGTTCTGAGGGCATACGGTGGAATGCGGAGCAACCGCTGAAGGTACATGGCTTCTGACCCGAGCACCCGTAAACCAGAAACGATCTAACTTTGGATTGCTCTGAGGCGAAGCTCTGTGGCAGGGTCCTCGAAGGCTGCGGACTTGTTGGCCTGTGCGGGGCTCCTTGCCAAAATAACTATCCTGCTACTACAAATACCATGCCGTGATAGTACTGGGGGATGATGGTCATGAGCAGCCAAGGCCATCTCTGTGTTTTTAACTGCCAGCGTCAACGTCGCTACCGTCTCCCCTCCACCGTACCTTCCTCGTTTGCTCCGTTCTTGGCCAGGCAAAGCACCTTCTGGAGAGTCGCAGGGCCGACGAAAAGTCGCGACAGAGCCAGAGAGGATAACGAGCTTGTACATGTATATGTATGTATATATATATACATACATATATACACATACATACTATTTATATATCCCATATATTATACACGTACATACGATATATACCATATATACTATATATACTATATATGCTGTATATGCTATATATACTCTCATGGTGTCTGAGCATTTGAAGGCTCAGAAAGCATCAGCTCCTCGTTACTTTACTAGACCGTCTGTGTGCCGTAACTCAGCATCCATACTCATAGCCAAGGGATCGAGGGCTTTGAGGACCAAGCAACACATAATTTTGTTCCTGGGAGTTCTGCAGCAACGGCTACCGACGGCTAGTCGCCAATGTTGTTTTGACGGAGGTACGGAGGCTCCAGGCGACGCGCTAGGCAAAGGGACCTGTCTGCGCTGAGTTGTGGGGCTTCTCCTAGGGTCTTAGTTCGGGGCTGAGCCTGCAGAAGATGAGGGCTTCAGGTTGCTGTGGGAAGGGTGCTTGTGTCGGGGTCACATTGTCGAAAATGGGCACGCTTGCACGTTGGGATCAAGCATAAGCGAGTTCGGAGTTTCCGGGCGTTTGCGGCTTCGGGCTTCAGGACTCTGAGGAGCCTGCATCTTGCACAATCCTTGGAAAATGGGCCAAAAAACACGGGCTTAAGGCCTTTGCCGGAGAGCCAGCACTCCAGGAGACACTCGTGGCCTGTACCCTAAACTTTGAAAGGAATAAGAGCTGGCAGGTGAAGAATTTGTCTCGGTCATTGCAACTGCCTTGGACTCTGCGTTTCGCCGGGTCGAGGCCGATGCCGCTGTTTCGACATGAAATCTCCAGTGCACACAGAAGGATACTTCGATCAATCAACCTGTCGCTCTATCCACCTGCCTGCTTGCCTGCCTGCCTACCTGATCTATGCATCTACATCTACCAATATCTGCGTCTGAAACTGTATCTACAGGAACACCGTACACCTATGTGTGAAAGCTGTTTTGTGGGTTAGTGAGCTCCCCCGCTATTTTTCTCATGCGGGAGCTTGCAGCTGTTGTCGTGTTTGGCATCCAGACAACGCTTCGGTTGACCCGATCGGTTCCACGATTGCAGAGATTGTTGTAAGCCCCAAAACATCCCAAAACATTAAATCTCATGGAGAGCAACTGTAGGTCAGTAGGTTGAGCCACATATGGCTTGTGGTTGGGGGGTTTATTTCGGGTTGGGAGTTTGGGAACATCCCGCCAACCTCGCGCATTCGCAAGACTTCTGGCAAGGCAGCAGGAAAGCTAGTTCGTGTAATCGCCTGTGAGTCTCAGCAGATGGCTTCTAACGCAGAGATGTAGTCGCGGCACTCCTCGGCTTCTCGGCTCCAGGCCAGCAAGACCTGAGGAACTTTGGCCTCCATCGAATCCATGAATACAGTCCGAGTCCGTGCAGTGTTGTGTTTAGGTTGTGACTCGTGCCTTCGTTTGTGTTTCGGACCTTCCCATAGCGATGCCGCAAGCTGCACTGTCGCAGCTGTTTCGAGCGCTTGGAGCGGCCGCGGGGCGCGTTTGCAACTGGGTGCACTTCAAGCCAGATGTTCCTGGGTATCCTCGACCAATGATGCTAAGCCTGGAGCCAGAGCTTAAATCTGCAACAGACGGCGAGGAGGCCTCAGGTGTTGAGTGCATGGAGAATCGGGAAGCGGGATTAAGTTGGCATCCAGTTGGGTCCGGGGTTGAAGCACTAGTTGGCACGATTTGGACCGTAGCTCAAGCTCTGCAAAGCCTTCTTGAGGATGCTACCTAGACACAGACCATGAATTCCAAGATTGCTCCCTCCATGCCGGATGTCGAAGATGCTGTGCCAGGAAATGGGGTGACCTCTCAGGGCAAGGTGGAAAAAATAGGCTGAAGTATGGGGCCCTGAATGGCCTGATGCAGTCATCCTTGTAAACACTTTGTTGGGCAATTTCAGCGCAGCTTGCAAAATGGATACTTGTATGATGATGGATGTCACACCGGTCCCAGCTTTTACTTCGAGTGATTTGTTTCAAGAGCCCCACTGTTTATTATAGTTATAGTGATATGACACCAACCCGGCCTTAGGCAACTTGCGCATTGCTTCTGCCTCTGCGCTGCCGCTCGACATGGAGCATCGCCTGATTCAAGGCACGTGCCCTGCCCGTTCTTGTAACGGTTTAAGGGTCCGTACTAACTGTACTGTATGGATGCCCTGCAACATACACAGCAGGTTGGGGTAATGATGGCCAACGACAAGATCTACACCTCACATCAGTGCCTGCACTAGAGTGAAAAGTCGTGATGTCAATGTGCTGTGGGCCGGAGGCCAGCCGACGCGAATCGAGGGCGAGCATCCAAGGCGGGTGACACCACCATCGCTTCGTGCTTCGGGGCTTTAGACCCATGTGAACTTCACATTCGCGGACGACGGGATGTATCTGCCGGCACTGTGGTGCCGTGCTTAAAGATTTGTAGCGCTTCAGGACGCTCTACACGGTCTCGATCGGTGAGGCGCTGCCTGCCGCAGGAAAAGTTCTAGATAACTCAGGGTAGGCATTGGTAATAAGACAAAGCAATGTGCCTACACTTGCTGTATGACTGTTGACGGACGTTTGACATTTGTGTAGCAGGGTGTTTCTGCGTGCTTCAGCCCTCTTCGGCTATGTTCTGTCCTATTCCAGCATATCCAATAGAGTCAATAAAGTTCTGAGCAATGATAGGGTATTCTAAACGATGCTTGTTCCGTAAACCCAATTTCTTATCCGATGATGTTGTATGTGTTGTGAAACGACTGTTGCGAGGAGATTTTTGCTGGGCTACATTCCTAAACTGCAAGGTGATATCGCTCACTGCCCAGTTAACCTGCAAGCCCGGCATATGTACCTAGATAAAGCTCCCTAACTGGCAACCGAGCAGCCGGCCCAGCTCCATCAGAGAGGCCATGTCGTGCGGAGACCAGTCCATCGACGAGGGGAGCGAAGCTGCATGCCTGCATGTCCTCGAATATCACGAAGCTCAGCTGGGGTGCTGCGACATCTTGGGACGCCGGGCTGTAGAGGCTTGTGCAGGGCGCCCGAAACCAAAAGCCGAAGACCGGACTTCCTGCTAGAAGTCCGTACCAAGGTCCCTTGGCATGCCCACGAAGCTAGTGAGGAAGTTCTGCGCTGCGTGGCGGGCAGCGGCACAATCTACTGCGGAGACGTGGTGAAGGATTCCTGACTCGTCCATCTCCGTGAGCTTGCGCGTGATGTCTCGCGTCCCAGGACTTCCTTCCTGGCGTCACGGTGTCCTTGCCTCAGAGAGTCTCTGCGAGAGTGCATTGTTCTGTGCAGTGTTTGCCCTGAAATCCTGTCAACATGCCGCGCATTCGAGACCGTCAGGCTGGTTCCCAAGCAAACGCCGCATCGAATCGTCAACTGCTCTCGGTCCGAGAAGCTCCGTGGCCTCTACAGGCGAAGAAGGCTAAGCATGCTCAAAGCTTCAGGGTCGTCAAGTTCGTCATGCACCTCCCCACGAAGTATGCCAGCATATTTCTCCAAAACTAGCCCCATACTAAACACAAAAATTCTTGGTAGAGTTGCCTGATCGGTGAGAAGAGTCAACTATCTCACTCCGAATCTTACAGAGCACAACGGCAACACCTTAGGCTGTGGCTTTCCTGGACGCTGTCCCCGCCACAGTCGACGAAGCAGTTCCAGGCCTGGTCTGTTTCGCATCACAGTATGCTTGGCTGATCCTGGTATCTGAGTCCATCACCATCACAATGAGTGCCGCGGCGCCGCGTCCATGCTACCAATGCAGAGCATCCATGCCCACTTCATGATAGCATCCGCACCAGCACTGAGGCTCACCTAGAAGGCCAAGGCATGAACCCTCAGCTTGGGCAAAACAAATGTGGGCATGGCACCCTACAAGCAAGCCATCCTTTCTGAAGGGGATCGAAATCTTGTGTTGCAACACATTCGCACTACCAGGATGTTCAAGCGCCGCGAAGCGCAAGGGATTGCGTGAAGTTCAACACTGTAGTAGCGTTATGCGGATGTTGCACATTTCTGCTTTTCTCTGAAAGCCGTTAAGTTAAGTTATCTTTCAAGCAATCAACAAGGCAATCCCAGCACCAGCACCGCCAGTGCCAGCAGCAACAGCCGCAGCCACCGGTATCGTCGTCGTTGTCGTCGTCGTCGTCGTCATCGTAGTCTTTGCTTCGTGTGAGGCCGGGGAAAACCGAGTTCAGGCTGGCTGAGGACGGGTGAGTGCCAAATACAAAGATTTGGCGTGGAACCTTGATGCGCAGAATCTGCATCTGTCATGACATGACGGCTAAAGACAACACAAGCTACGGACTCTCGGCTGCAGGAGTAGCCGCGGCTTTCCGGCAACACCTTGCACAGAAGCTGGCGAAGAGCCTTGTACAGCACGTGCACTTGGAAAGTTTGGATGTCCTGGCATTATGCCTGGTCACCGTTCCGGATAATAATCTTTCCGTCTTGACCCGGCCGAAAGGCTGATGCAGGTGATTCGGGTTCTTTTGCGGGCGATATGTTGCCTGGCAGCAGGCGAGTTGTGAGCGCAGAAGCCAAGTAGAGCAATTCTGCCGCCACAACTCACCATTGGCGTGCGCAAAAATCTCGTCAACCGCAGCCGAATGACCCTTTCCTATGCCTTGGCAATTCTTTTCGCAACAACTGTCCAGGAAGATGTCCTTGACTGTGATTTGTCCGGTTGTGCCCAAATAGACGACTGCATGTACATCGAAGCTTTTGT